ACAATGGGGGCAGAAAGGAAGGTGCCGGACCTCCTGGCCTAGCTGCCGGGTACATATATCCATCCTGCATGGCCCCGTAAACCCCGTGGCCAGCACCCTCCCTCCTTCACCCTTATACCTCCTCAGCCTGGCATAGGTGTCACTGAACAAATGATTGTTGAAAAAATGCCTTCTGGTGAGGGAAGTCAGGGAAGGCTTGAGTAGAGATGTAGTGGCTGTTTAGAATCTATTGGCTTAGACAGTAGCAAGGATTCTCCGATGGAGGTGTTAGACTTCAAAACAAGGAAATTAGAGAATCCATCCAAATGCTCACAGTGGGGGGAAGGAGATCCCATCTCTCCAGGGGAACTTCCTCCCTGTTTGTCTGTTCATTTGTTGTTTCATCAAGGCCTCTTCCCTGTCGTGAGGCAGTGCAGGCTGCATTTAGAAAGTCTGGAACCCATCATACTTCTCAAGATCCAGCATTCAGAGGCATAACTACAATACCTGTGATAGGGAAGCAGCACAAATGGGTTTGAGCAGCAAAAGGAGAGAGGCCTAATGATAACTACATGAAGTCCACTTGAGAGACGCCCCCACCCCAGGGAATGTCTCCATTAGGACAAGACTCTTCTTTGAAGTACACAGCTCCAAGCTGTGTGGGAAGGTGTGTGGAAGGAAAACTGATGAATTCACATGTGGGAAAGGCTTCAAAGTTGCCATTGTTCCTAGTAGGTCAGCCCTGCAAATGTTGGGGCGCTTTGGGTCCTGCAGGTGGACTGCATCTGTATCTGCCCTCCAGCTGTGGGAGGAGAACTTGCTATACAATGGATACCATGTCCAGCCATTGCCCAAATAGAATGGTTTCATAATGATTAGAAAGAAATAATCTGCATCAATGAGGCTGTGTCCACATGACTAGGTAAAACAAACAGATTCAGAACACAGAAAACTTAAGGATAAAATTAGGCTAAAATTTAGGATGGAATTTTAAATACTTAGAACTAGAGAAAGGACTTCCAAGGAACATATATTTAAAGGTACATGTGTTCTATAGGCGTTGATGAGTGGTGTTTTGGTGTGGGTGTTTTTTTAAGATCATTGGATCAAATAGGTTTGAGAATCTCTGGATTTCTTTACCAGTAGGACTTCTCAGAGCCTTTAAAGTGGTACTATACATTGTCAGTCTTCAAGTATACTTGTCTAAACCACTCTCAAACTTTGGAGACTTTTATTCTCCGCATGGATATCAACCTGAATCTTAGAAACCTCCAGAGAAAGAGTTCTCGAGCCCCATATGAAACTTACTCCAGATTTTCACAACCCTCACAGTTAAGAAGTCCTCCTGTGCATTTATGTGAATATTCCCAATTTTAATCTGTCTTTCTCTGCCCTCCAGGAACCACTCTCTAAAAGGGGTGTCCTTCATAGGCCTCCATTCCATGATTAAGCCCTACTCATCTTTTCCACTGTTATAAAGCTTCCCTAAAGATTCATTTCCAAAATTAATCCCTGGTTCTTCTCCAGGCTCTTCCAATTCAGCTGTGGGACCCAGAATGGGCATCCACCCTCCAGAAGGCCAGACCAGCTCAAGCTGGCTTTGAGGGAAAGGTCCGTGGGATGGTTACAAAGGAAGCTGAGGAATTAGGACTCAGTGAGCCAGACTTCTCTCATGTGTAGGGGGATTTGGAAGAGCCTATAACACAGGGACAGGATGCATCGCTGCCCAGGAAGGCTGGCCCTGCCTGGTTAGAGTTCTTGTAAAACACCCTCCTATTGTGTGGCATCTGATGGCTATAGTAAGCTGATCTTTGGAGCGGGGACCAGGCTGGCTGTACACCCATGTGAGTAAGACCATGCAAATGACCAGGGTAAAAGTAACTGATGACTTGTCTATGAGAAAACAAGCAATGATTTATGGCAAAGTCAGGGATAAATGGAACATTTGTTTTCCATTTCTACAAGCTCTCGGTGACTTAAAATGTTCCCATTTCTCATATTCAAGACAGAAATGCCAAGAGCCAGCAGAGTAAATAAAAATCTGAGGGGAAAATTTATGACAACGTAAAAAGAGTTCCAGATACCTGGTGCTATCAAGCAACACCTATAACATCAGCACCAGATAATCTGAACATTCAGGAAATCAGCTAAGTGTCCTTGGGGGGAAAGAGATGGTTAATGGCAAACACAAATTCTCTCGTATTGCAGCAGGTAGCTAAATTCCCTGGTTTGGCTAATGAGCAGAATCTTCCTCTCTGGAGTTTAAGTAGAGTTTTGAACCTCTCTCAGGATAAAAGTGACTCCGACCCCTATTTAAACAGCAGTTATGCCTTGTGAAATAACAAGGCGTGGAGGCAAGATGGTAGGGGCTTATAGCACAGCTTGGGAGGCTGGCAGATCTGGGGAAAATTCTGTCTCTTCTCTGTCTAGCTAATAGTCTCCAGTTTCTCAAAAGCAAAATGACAATAACCACATCATAATAATATGAGACAATACCCAGTACATAGGCAGTAATCAATAAATGATAGCTTTTCTAAATTATTATTATCATCAAGGTAGTGCTGTATTAAAGCTCACATTATTACAAAGGGAAAGGGGAACCGCTTCCCTGGGAAATAGGAAGTCTAAGAAACAAATACCCAGGGAGACTTTTAGGCTGGTGCTCTCAGATCCTGGTGGGTTCCAGCAGATTAACATCAGGAAGGTTATTGCAAAGTCCTTACTTGTAGTGGGGAAATACTGGTGCTAACAAGCTCATCTTTGGAGCAGGGACCAGAGTGAGTGTCCAGCCAAGTAAGTAGAGTGGGGCAAGGGTGGACATTGACAACTAATTCTTTTTTGTCCAAGAGGCTGAGTTGAGCCCAGGTATTTTCTTCAGTAGGATCCCAAATGGTTCTTTCCACTCGTCCCTCAAATATCCTCCCATCTAGCCCTCAATGCCCCAGAAACATCCTTAGTCTGGGACCTAAAGAATCATGAAGCAGGTGATGGGCAAGTAGTCCTGGGCCTTCCACGAGAAGATCCAAGACACTGCTCCCCTGAGCAAGGAGTTCTGCTCTACTAAATTATTGGTTTACTAAAATCACAACCTCCAACCCAGAGCACTACAGCAGGATGGGGCAGGAGGGAAAGGATTGGACACACCTGAGACAAAATCTCAACACAAAAGAGCAGAAGGTCTAACTCTAAAGAGGGTGATTCTCCAGTCCTTTTCCTATTGAAGTACTTTTCCTATTGAAGTGGGAGGTAGGGCCAGTGAGTTTCTGTGCTGGTGTCAACTGCAGTGTGCCTCCGGAGGAATGACTGGTAAACTCACATTTGGGAAAGGGACCCAAGTGTCCATAATATCTGGTGAGTCATTCCAGATGGCACCACTTGCAACCCCATGGGCCAGTGCCATTAATCCTTGCCCTTGGGATCTTGGTGATGACTATGGTAAGGCCGATTGTGGGTGTTCTAACTGATTGCCTTACAGAGGCCTTTATGAAGGAAGAAGGCATCATTATCAATTTTAAAGTCTGTGTTTCTCTAGGTCAAACACATTAAAATTGAACTCTAATTGTCCAATGGATATTTTTAAATGCCTTCAATGTGGTCATTACTCAGTAAAATATTAGACTGGGTATAGAGACGTCTTAGATAGATTTCTGACCTGTCCCTAAATAGGATAAAAACTAGCAAAAGGGACAGAACTATTGTAAATTCAGCAACCTAAAGACTATTTTAGTATTGGCCAATTGATGATGTCAATAGGCACATTAGAGATTCAGAGGAATAGGGTCTTGGCTGGAAAGTTGGCATAGATGGAGATGGCTTTCTTTATGCAGTAGAAAAAGGTTCCTTGAGCTGAAAGATAAATAAGATCTATATGAACAAAGAAAGGAGAGAGAGTGGGTTCCAGGCACAAAGAACAATAAGAAAGAAGGCATGATCTTAAGATTAAACAAGGCATGTGCAATTGGGCATAAGTAAATACATCTAATAATAAGGTTAGATGGAGAGAAAGGCAAAGATGTCTTCTTAGGCAATGAAGAAAATGAATATGAGAGCCTTCAAGAGAATACAAACAGTCAAGGCCATGGCCAGCCACTGGGAAACAGAATCCAATTTAGAAATGCAATTTAGACCAGATAGGAAGGTGAAAGAGCAGCTCTTTCCATGGATAGCTCATGGCCCAGGGGCTCCCCTCTCCTTCCTCAATGGGCTGGAAGAGGGCTTACCCCATTCCTCAGAGGAGAAACTAAGGGTTTCTGTAATGGAGATATTGGAAGTGGCATGGCAGTGTTGCCTCCCAGTTGCAATATGGCAAAGGCACCAGAGTTTCCATCATTCCCGGTAAGTCTTCCCAGGAAGTGTTACTGCTTCCTAATGCTCACCGGATCCTCCGC